ACCGATACTTGAGAATCCCGCAGGTCATACTTCTGATAGAGTCTTGCCAGCGAACCTCTTGTTACAAGCTCAAGAAAGATATAAAGTTTACCATTACCCTGAAACATCATTTCAAGTTATCATGTACCCCATATGGTTAAAGAAATTAACGTAAATTTTTGGTTTGGTTAGCAAGTCCCTAACCTAATAGCTCGAGTTAAAACTGTACTTTGACCATATCCTTGATCAAGAAGGAATATGCATCCCAATTCAGAGGATGGTTTGATAGAATCATAGAAAAGAAGGGTTGTGATGCTGTCCATGGTTAACACTTCTGATTTATTTTCAACTTTTTTATTTCCTAAATTTGCAACCTCCTGCAGCCTATGCCCTCCAATATACATAATGACTTTCTAAAAAGAAAATAGCTCTGCTTGAAGAATTATCAGCTAGAAGCTTGCTTTTAAGTCTCCAATGAAAAAGACAGACCTTAAGAGATGAAATACATACCGTATCTGTTCCAAGATATCGAACTATGTTATCATGATGTAACTGACTTAATGAAGATATTTCCTGAAACAATAAAAGGAAGACAAAAATAACTCATGATTTGATGGATATGAACCTATACATAAACTTGAAGAAATGACAACAATTTATAAATCACCTGCTCAAGTTGAGCAATTCTCTGGTTTCCCTGGCTACCTTGATCAAGTAAAGAAACCTCCTTCACAGCAAAAAAGAACCCCTCACTGCAAACAAAAGCAAAGGTTGCATCAGAGGATGTAAACTGTAATGAGATAATATCAAAGGAAAAGGGGCTTCTTCTTTAGGTAAGCTATGACATGAATAATGAATTGATACTAAACAAAAGAAACCCATGCTTCTGCTTGAGCGCTTACCCATAAATGGAAATTCTAAAATTGACATAAAAACACATCAAAACACATAAGAAGAAAGAGTAGGTTTTAAAATGCTTATTAACAAAGAGTTAGACCTCCAAATCACCTCCCATTGAAGCATATCTAATGGCCAACAAGGAGACACTGACACATAGTACTGCTCTCATGCCTATAAAGGATGCTACATGATGTTGACACTAAAACAAACACTTGGGGTACCATTTTCTAATCTTTCTTATTCGAGTCAGAGAATCATGATCCGCAAACTCTATAAAACATTACAATCCCATAGATGATGAATTGATGATTGTGTACATATGCAGTGATACTTAAGCGTCACTTACTCGGTGACACCTTCATAAACGGTGCCCATTGAACCACTTCCAAGAAATTCACCCTTTTGCCAGTTTGTAAAACTGCCCCTGAACCGTTCATTGGGGGAAAGAGAGTAATCAAGTTCAGAAGCTGGATTCATCCCTCTCGTCTCTCCCTCCTTCGCTGTGTCACCCACTACGTTCTACTAAATTTGCAAAGTATTTCAGACAATTGGTGGGTCTAAGGTCAAGTCTTCGTCGTCCGCGTGAGAAATACTCCAATCGTTGACCAAGTCCAACCCATATCATCCGCAAACAAAACAGTAATTGATTTCCAAATAAACAGTGAACTGCTACGTTTTATATGAACACGGGATTTCTCTTTCAATTTTCCAGTAGCAATTGTTGTCCGTAACATTTTATCTATAAAAAATATCATTTGATTGGTAGGCGCTTTGATCTGTTAGACCCCATCCATAAAATTGATTAGAAACAAAGGTCAGGTTAAGGATCGTTTCCATCAACGAAGTTTGGGATTGCTTATAAAAACAACTTATTGTTTTATTCTGGTGTGACATCGATAATAAGCATTTTTGAGTGTTTGGATAAATAACTTATACGGTTGTCAAACCGGTGACAAGAAGTTTTTGTAGAAGTTAAACCCTTCTAACTTATAATAAATTGATAAGTGTTTTTGTAGAAAATCATAAGTTGTTTCAAATAAGCAATCCTAAACATCGTACGAGTTGATTTGTCAAAGTTGATCGGGTTGAAACTTTGATATATCATATTACAATCTAACTAATCGTTTGTGTTTACAAAAAGTAAAATAAAAATGAGAACATACAAAAAAGGACTAACAAACTAGAAAAAAGGCCGAAGGTTCATGCGAATTTATGGTTGAAATTGTAATATAATTTTAAATATAGTTAATTACATGCTGGTCTTGTAAGTTAATTTCAAGGCATCTCTTGTAAGTTAATTTGATTTCTGTTACTAGTATTATTTCAAGGCACCTTGTTGAAGATTCTTGTGTTCTAAGCTTTATACCATTTTTGCTTGATGTATTTCATAAACGATATATGCATTATGCATACCCACATCTGACTTCTTCAAGGTTTTATTGAACACCAATGAATTTCTTTCTTGGAAAAGGTTCTTGATCTCAACTCCAATTTCATTTCTATAAAAACCTATTGAAATCATGACATTTTCTATTCAAATATGTGGATTTCTTTCTTGGAAAAGGTTCTTGATCTTAACTCCAACTTCATTTCTATAAAAAAAAACCCTCTTGAAATCATCATATTTTCTATGCAAATCTGTGGATTTCTTTCTTGAAAAAGATTTCTGATCTTGTGAAAAGTTGTAGTAAACTTGCTTCCATCTGGGTTACGATAATTTTATAACCCAGTGTTCAAATCAGTTGTTTGATTGCAGGATAGAAACCATTCAAGTTAAATGCCTATGGGATGATTTATTATAGGTTTTTAGCAGTCAACTTGTTTAGGCAGCAATACCAACTATGGCAAGTTTAAAAACTTCGATCCAACGTATGAAAATAGATCCTTTAGTTAAATTATTTGATATTGGGAATGAACGGCTTACCATCTCAGTTTCATCATGAGAACTTCGAAAATGGTAAAAAGTAAACAGACAATTACCTATATATAAGTGTGTTTGTGTGTTGGCAATGCCTACTGCTTCATAGATTTTTTTTTTTTTGCTTGTTTCAGTTGAAAAGGTAGTAGATTTGGTATTTAGGACCTTTGTCCAATAGTATTAAACATCGTTAGGCATACAACAAGAAAGTGTTATTTACATGCTTCATGTTTTACCAACCATATACTTAATTTGTGTTTTTTACATTATTTACATTAAAAACAACTAGGTTTATGAATATTGAAGAACAAGTTGCCATGTATCTTCGTATTATTGCTCACAATGTTAAGAATCGGGTTATAATATGTCATTTTCATTGTTCGGGAGAAACAATTAGTAGAGTTGTTGCTCGAGTTTGCAATGCCATAATAAGGTTACATCCAAGATTGCTTAAGAAATCTGAACCTGTTACTGATAACTCTACTGATCAAATATGGAAATGGTTTAAGGTATTTCCACTTCTTTTAAGATTTACTTATTCGTAAATAAGTCTAATTATTATGAAAATATAATGATATTTTTTTCTTGGTTCTAGAATTGTCTAGGAGCTTTAGATGGAACTCACATAAATTGTTTAGTTCCACACGAAGACAAACCTAGATATATAACAAGAAAGAATGATATTACGGCAAACGTGTTAGGGGTGTTCTCACAAGATATGCACTTTATATATGTGTAACGGGGATAGGAGGGGTCGGCTGCTGATGGTAGAGTGCTTCGAGATGCCATTCTTAGGCCTCATGAATTAAAAGTTCCAAGACCGGGTATAGTTTTTGATAGTTTACGATATATTAACAAGTATAAGTTTTGAGGGTTTATTAACTTAATTTATTTTTAGGTTATTACTTGGTTGATGTCAGATACACCAACCAACCACTGCCAAAGGCTTTTTCAATATGAAGCATTTATCGGCGAGAAATGTTATTGAACGATGTTTCGGTATGTTAAAGGCAAGATGGGGAATCTTAAGAGATAACTTGTATTATCCTATTGATTTAAAAGTTATGATCGTCATGGCATGTTGTCTCCTCCATAATTTTATAATGCAAGAAATGCCAATAGATCCATTTGACCATGAAGGTGAAGTGGATGAGGCAACCGGAGACCTTGGAGTCGAAGACGGAGATAATATAAATGTCGTTGGTACTTCAAATGAGTGGACTGCATTTAGGGATAATTTAGTACAATCTATGTTTGCTTCTTGGACTGCTACCAATTAATATGTATGATTCAAATGTTTGGTTAACTCATACTTCTAATGTTTGTTTAAATCTAATGTTTGTTTATAATAGAAATTATTGAGTTTGGACGTGGACAATTAAATGTTGTTGTACTTCAAACGATTCATTTATGATTATAGGTATCACGAATCAAATTAGAAATTATCGAGTATGGACAAATATTGAAGAAACAAAATTTGTTGAAGCTTTAGTTACCATGGTGAATATGGGAGCATTTTAAAGCTGATAACGGCTTTAATCGAGTTATTTAACATATCTTGAACAAGCATTAAAAGAATCATTGTCGGGCTCTGGTATTTTAGGGAAACCACATACTGAATCAAAGTCAAAATAATGAAGAAAAATTGGACTTTTATGCATAACATGATAAGTGGTTGATACACTAGCGGCTTTGAATACACTAGTGTAAAGCATTGTGCAGTTGCCAAAGACCAATTTTTAGAGTCGTATCTTCAGGTACGTACTAAAAAAATTTGTTATTTAAATTTGCGTAATATATAGTTATAGTTTTATGTATCTTTATGTTATTCTATTTCATCCCATAAAGGGGTGGGAAAACGGAAGAACAAAACGTATCCTTTTTATGAGGATCTTTATATTGTATTTGGAAAAGATCGGGCTCAATGAAATAGAGCAAGAGATTTTGTTGAGGCGGAAGAGGAGGTAAATATAGAAGATCAAACACAACACATGTATGATGAGTCTGATGACGTGATGACAACTAGCAATATCAAGGTGTCAATGCAAATATGCAATCTAAATAAACTTCAAGCGGGTGTGGTAAGAAGATAAAATGTCGAGTAGATCCCATGGCTGAAGGATTCAATAATGTGGCTACCAAACTTGGAGAAAGTCTGGAGAAAATGGCGAACAAACTTAACAAGGGTATCGAACGAGAAGAAATACTTGATAAGAAACGTTCGATGATCACTTCTGAGATATCAAAAATGCAGTCACTAGCCCAACCACAGAAGTTTAAAGTAATTTCGATGATAAGAGACGATCCTATAAATGTGATCATGTTTTGGGATTTGCAAGAAGCAGATAGGTAAGCTTACATGAACAGTGTTTTGAAATAATGAAAAAGTTTGGTGGTTAAATATGTGATTTGGAAGAACAATTTGGTAGTTAAATATGTATTTTTGATGAAAAGGTTTGTTGGTTAAATATGCATTTTGCATGAACATGTTTGGCGATTAAATATGTATTTTAGAACAAAGAATTAAATGATTGAATATGTAGTTTCGAAACTATGAATTAGATGATTAAATATATAGTTTTAGTAAAATGGAAGAGATTTGAGGATTAAATATACAGTTTTGGAGAAATTGATAACAAAAAGGTAATCTTCTATATATACATATTATTAGACAAAGCAAAGCTTGAAATTGAATTAGGATTCAGGATTCTGAGTTTTCAACTTCAAAATCAAGGTGTATCACGCTACATTATACGGATACACTTCTAGTTCTGATAAGGACTTGCCTAGAAACAGACATGAGAGGACGGACAGGGACCCTTTTTGATGTTGTTAACTGGGTCTGACCAGGACCGAACCTTGTGAGGACGGGTGCGCGAGACCGGTTCAGACGGTTCTCATCCATATCTACTTCTCCAGCAATGTACCTCATGGTATTTCAGAGCATCCAAGATTGTTGAAACATCAAAGAAATCTTATAGATTTTAGGACTGCTACAAATGCTGACCACCTCCATCAATCAAATAACTTTCCTTCCTATTATTCTTTTCCAAATTATGTACATCTTCTCTCTCTCTCTCTCTCTCTACAAACAAATTATGCCCACTCTTTACAACAAACAAACGACGAATGCAACTTACAACCAAATCAAAATCAAAACACTAATAGTTTACATGTCTTCACAACCACTATGCACACTTGCTCTCCGATCGATTCCTGAATACACCAACCAGATTTGTGTTATGTTTCATAATGCACACGAGCATCTTCCAAAAATCATATAAACAATCACATTTACGTTCATTAAAGCATGCTCCTAAAATATGCACAAATTTCATCCGTGAAGCTGTAGGGTGATCATATTACAACCTTAAAACGACTATACTTGAGCTACTTTTGTGGATCCTGTTTCTTAAGAAACGAATATCAATATATGGTTTGATGTCAGAAAATGACATCGATAAAATTGACTAAACAAGGTAAACATTACCATAGAGGCATTGATTTGTCTATGGTTGATGAAACTCTTTAATGCAACTCTTAGGACCACAAGCATGCCTGAAGAGTAGAAACTTAGTGTGGTTGTGCCACTACATAAGAACAAAGGTGACACACAGAATTGTGCCAAGTACCACGGTATAAAGCTAATTAGCCACACCATGAAATTATGGGAACGGATGATTGAGGCCAAGATGTGGCACAAAACAGAGGTGTCAGAAAATCAATTTGCCTTCATGCTAGGGAGGTCGTCAACTGGGGCAAGTCACGTCCTCAAACGCCTCATGGATAATTATAGAGCGTGTGGTAAGGACCTACAAGTAGTGTTCATAGATTTGGTGAAGGCCTTTGATAGTGTGTCATTGACGTGATTTGAAGGAGCCTGAAAAAGAGAAGGTACCATGGATACAAGCGTCCAAAAACTTGTTACCCGACCCCGGTTGGTGATACATAGTTTTTCCATGTGGAGGTAGGGCTACACCAGGGATAGACACTAAGCCCATTCCTTTTTGCTGTGATTTTGGATGAGATTTCTCGAGGGACTCAAGGGAGGTAGCAAAATCGAGGAAGATATAACACATAAGATTAAGACAGGGCGGTTACAGTGGAGATCTGCCACGGAAGTGTTGCGCGACAAGTCCCACTAAAACTGAAGAGAAATTTTGCAGAGCGGCCATTAAGCGAGCCATGTTATAAAGGTCGGTGCGTTGGGCCACGAGGAACGAGCATGACGAGAAGATGGAAGTCGCAGAAATGAGGATGCTAAGGTAGACGTGTGGTTGAACCATGTGGGATAAGATATCAAATAAGGTCTTTCGAGCAAAGTTAGCAATTGCACCTTATCACGGAGATGATGGCACCAATGAGGAGAATAGAAAGAATGACGGTCAGGGGGATGAGGAGGAGAGGTAGACTGAAAAGAATGTGGGAATAGTAGTTTGGGGTAAAGAACTATAAGTGAGGATGTGTAGAAAGCATGGTCAGGGAGGGGAGTTGAGATGAGGTAAAGGATGGGCAAGGGAAAAGGGCAGAGTAGTGGCACTTAGGCTGCGTTTGGTACATGGGACGGGACGGGACAGGACAGGACTAAGTGTGGGGACTGTAGATCACAAGGTTTGGGGAGGGGAGTTTAGAGAAGGTAGAGTGTGTGCAGGTGAAAATTGCAGAGTAGTGGCACTTAGGTTACTAGAGCCTTGTGGAAGATAGATTGTTGTGTTGGTTTAGTTTTTCCCATTTTTTATGTTTTATTTATGCACTGTTTTATCTATTATCTTATGTTCCTCGTACTTGATGTGTACTTGCATACACTCTTATGTTCCTATTTTAATATGCTACTTTTCTTGCATGTTTTTTGCTATTGTTTTGCAAGTCGAGGGTCTTTAAGGAAACAACCTCTCTACTCTCTGGTTTGGTTTGGTTTGGGTTGGGTTGGGTTGGGTTGGGTTGGGTTGGGTACATTACCATATCAAACTATTGTCCTTCACAACTTTCATATGCTTCTCACTTCACTTGGTTTAACTGAAACCTCAAATAGTTTTCAAAACCTCAACTTACCCATATACTTTGCCATGGGAGCTTATGGAAAGCTGTTACAATTGCATGCCGTTGTAGCCTGGAGAAGCAAGGACCGAGTTCATAGAACCTGATCTCTTCAAAAATGGGTGCTCCAGTAGTTGAGCAGCAGTAGGACGGTCATTTGGATCGACTTGCAAGCATTTAAGAATGAAA